CCCCAAAACCCCAAAACCCCAAAACCCCAAAACCCCTTATAAAATTTTAAATATAGAAAAGTTAAGTAGCGTTGATTATCTCTTGGTATCACTAAATAGTCCATCATCCTTCTTCTTTGGCTTTGAAACACCACTGAATATTGGTTGGGCCCAGCTTGAGGTCTTATTCAGAGCAGGCTGCCCTTGGTTAGGATCTGAAGCAGAATTAGCTCCAAATAAACTCTTTTTCTCTTTTGCCGGCCCAATGGAGAATGCATTGCTACTGCTCTGGCTTCCAAATAATGGTCCTTGAGATTGACTAGCTCCACTATTTCCTTGCCCTCCGAAGAGAGAAGTGGAAGGGGCACTTCTTTGTGGGTTCTGGAACGCAAACAGACTTCCTCCTTCCTTTTGCAACTTCTGACCGCTAAGAGTTGGAGGAGTTGTTCCTCCCATTCCTACATCTTCTGAATTCTGGCTAGAGAAAAGAGAGGGTTTTTGGGTCTGTCCAAGGCCAGAAGTTCCAGCTTCTCCAATAGTTAATGAAGAGCTTTCCTATAGTGTTAAATATTTAATGCTTACTTTAGGAGGTTTGCTTGAACTATCACTAAATAAGTTCTTAGGTCCTTCATTTGTTGGCTTTGCTCCAGAGAATAGGTTCACAGCACTGCCGGAGGATAAGTTCTTTGCCAAGAAGGGATTCCCTCCAGCCGAACTTAATTTCTTATCCAAGTTTGGCAATGGGTCTATCTTACTAGAGAACAAAGAGGTTGTACTTGGCTTATTAAATAGCGAAGTACTCTCAGCAGGCTTCTTCTCCTCAGGCTTTTCTTCAGCAGGCTTCTGGAATAATGATGTTGAAGATGGAGTAGAAGAACCACTGAAAAGAGAACTTGATCCGGGCTTTGCTCCAAACAGAGGTTTCTTATCTTCCGGCTTCTTCTCTTCCTCTTGTTTCTTCTCTTCTTCCTGCTTCTTATCTGATCCTACTTTCTTTGGGATAGTTGGTTTTGGCTGGAACAAAGATGGTGCTTTGACAGAGGTAGTTTCTTTCTCTTCTTGGCCACCATCTTCTTCAGGAGCTTCTGCAATAGGAGTTATTTTCTGAGTAAATAAGGCTGTTGGCTTCTTAATCTCCTTTTCAGCTGTCTTCTCTGTAGAATCGGTTTTCTCATTCTTTGACTCTCCAAAAACTGGGGAAGAGTTATGGCAAGCCCTGCTATTTTTCAACTCATTGAGAACATCCTGGCTAGGTGTCCCAAAGATAGATAATGTTGGCTTAGAATCCTTTTTCTCTGAGTTTTCAGGTTTAACTTCAGTACTGACTTGGTCAGGTTTCACAAATAGAGAATTTACTTTAATTTCTTGGGCAGGCTTTTTATCTTTTTCAGTCCCAGAGCTTTTGAAATTCAAAGGGGGCTTATCAGCCATTGTTTTCGCTATAGATCTGCCTACTAAAATTGATGTGCTTGTGGCCCTTCCAACATTCCTCATCTCGTCAAGGATGCTCTGAGGTGGTTCTTTATCTTCATTCTTGTCTTCCTCAATAGTTTTGTTAGTCTCTGTTGGCTTTAAGGGGGTTACTTCAAGAGTATTATCCGGTTTGATGATCTGCCTCTGAAGGAAGACTTTATTCTCATTTCTCTTTGGGGTATTTAATAACTTCCTTTCCTGACTAGAAGAGGTCCTTGCCATTTTAAATGAATTCTTTCGACCATGGCTAACTTTTCTCTCTGTGTTAGGAATGGAAGGGCTTCTTTTTGGAGTAGTGTTTCCAGAAATATCGCTTCTTACAAAGCCCTCATCTTCCAGGAATGGGTCTTGGTCCAGATCCTGAGTGTTGACTCTTCCAGTTTTAGTTGATGGGATGAGCCCTTGCTCTCTTAGAAGTTCAATTGTATCCTTCTTGCTCTGCTCTCTTTCCTCTCTGATGATTGGGAGGAGGATATCCTTAAGGTAATTCTTAGTATCATCCTTCTCTAGCTTTTCCTTAGCAATCTCAGTAAGATATGTCTGGAAATGGTGTTTTATCCTCTCCCTTTCATGTGTATTGATAGTAGCGTTAGAACTACTGGAAGAATCGCTGACTTCTTCAGATGAAAGTCAGGCCTTTTGAATACTTTTGAGTTTTCTCTTCTTGGCTTTCTCAAGATTGACTTCTTTACCAACATCTGAGCTTTTCCTCTTAGCTCTTTTATTCTTGAGGCCACGCTTACTGACGGGAACTACTGACTCTTGGAGGTCTTTTTGTAAGGAGGTTGATAATTGATTGTTATCTTCAAATTCTTGGTATTTTCTTTTACGAGAAACAGAGACTTCCTCACTGGAGCTCTCCTCAAGGAACTTTTGGCTCTTATAATTCGGCTTTCGCGCAATTTCTATAAAATAAAGTTGAACACGAGGTTGTGGCATCTAATCACCATTTTATAATCGTTTTTAACTGAAAAGGAGTCGGTTTGATGCTTACCTTTGATGATTTTGCCGGATTTTTGAGACCGGGATCCTGGCTTCTTCAGGACGGATTTTAGAACTGGAGAACTTTTATTTTTAGCCTCGAAGCAATCTTCACTTTGTTCCTCATCCCCACTTGATTTATTTATTTGATTTTCAAGACTTTCTACATTGATATTGTTGAGCTTTGGTCTAGAGCTTTGTTCTTCTAATGTGATTATTTCCTCATTGATGGTAGGCTCATTAGGCTTCACTGGCTTACTTCCTAATTCTTTGACTGAAGATTCTTTATTTGCAGAAGAATGGCAAAGATTTTATCATATTCTTAAACAAGCTCCATCTGTTGGGTGGGTCTCTCTCACTGTGCCTTACTTTATATGGGTTGTATCTGTATCTTGCAACGTTTGTAACTTTGAAAAATTCCTTGGGTGGCAACCCTAGCTTATTTTTCGTTTCATTTTGTGATGACTCTTTTGCCCTGTTCATTGTTAATTTATTTATTTATATATCAACAGGTTTCAGAATATGGGGTTTTGGGGTTTTGGGGTTTTGGGGTTTTGGGGTTTTGGGG